TACAGGCAAGCACCACCACATCTGTCTAATTTTGTATTTTTAGTAGGGATGGGGTTTCACCATGTTGGCCAGGCTGGTCTTGAACTCCTGACCTCAGGTGGTCCACCTGCCTTGGCCTCCCAAAGTGCTGAGATTACAGGCATGAACCACCATGCCCAGCCTGTTCCACTGACATTTGTTAGACATTCAGCAAAACACCCCATCTTAACTTCTTTTCTTTCTTGAGCCTTGGTCCTGTCCCCACCTCCATTCCCCACCCCCAGGAAGAGGAAGGGCCAAGGCATCAGTGGCTAGTCCACATAAAAGATGGGCTTGGGGATGGAATGAGTGGTGGTAAGTTCACAGAGTGTAGTCAGATCCCAATTCCCATGACCTCTGGCTGCAGTGGTGGGTGGGGCAGGGCAGGTGAAAGGGCTCAGAGGATCCAGTGGGATCCTCTGAGAGCATTTTCCTGCTTCCCCCATCAACCGTCCCCAGTGGTAACGTCTATGAAGCCAGCTGTTACTCAATAAACTGCAAACTTGTCTACTTCTTGGCCTTCACTTGATTCCATGTCCTGAGTGCCCAGAAAGGGTCTTCTGGCTGCAGACTTCCATCTGTTCCCACTAAGTCAAGATCTCATTCCTCCCTTTGTGTAAGACTCTCATCCCCCAGCAGAGGGAGCTCTAAGATTAGAAAATCAGTCCTCACACTGGCACCCCAAGTATGTACTAAGGTAGAGGGGGAATGTAGATGCTTTCACCATCTCTTTCTTTTCTTTTCTTTTTAATTTTTGTTTTCTTTTCCTTTTTGGAGGCAGTATTTCACTCTTTTTACCCAGGCTGGAGTGCAATGGTGTGATCTTGGCTCACTGCAACCCCTGCCTCCTGGGTTCAAGTGATTCTCCTGCCTCAACCTCCCAAGTAGCTGGGATTACAGGCAAGCACCACCACATCTGTCTAATTTTGTATTTTTAGTAGGGATGGGGTTTCACCATGTTGGCCAGGCTGGTCTTGAACTCCTGACCTC